ATTTCAGTAAACTTGTAATACAAAACAATTGTCTTAATGTACTGTGATTAATCAACTGGGGAAGTATGGTAATGTCTATTAGTTAAACTTTAATAAAATTGTACCCTGTTCACCTGTAGTGTCTTGCTTTAATCTTAAGCACTTTGCTGAAGGTTGTAAAATGTTCATCTTACCATCTCCCAGAAACAACACAATGTTTTTGGCCACATTAGTGTTGTGTTTTCTGCTGAGAGCCGAACGCAGTGTGTTTTGAGCCGAACTCCTCCAGAACTCTGGATTCTCCTCTTCAACTGAGATAAGGACAAACAAATGCTACACACATTAGTTTTGTGCAAGATGACAACATAAATACATAACTGTCAAAACGATTTTTTCTCTCCCGTGCTTCAGTCTCAAACACTCAGTGCTTCTCAGGTTTAACCAAGAACCTTCTTCTCATCAAGAACCATTTTCACTTTCTTTAGTTGATTTATGGTTTTGTGAAGATTAAAAGAAGTTCTTGATTAATTCTAGGTTCTTCAGATCAGTGTTTTGGTTTCTGGGTTCTTCAAAGCATCAGATTCACTCTTAACCAAAAGAGGTTTCCATAGCATTGTCATAAAAGAACCTTAACAAAAACATTATTAAAATAACCTTTTTTTTCAGTGTGTAGAGCATTTCAATTATCTTAGAATCTTTTGTGCAATGGAAATGTTTCATGATATTAAAGGTTCTTTATGAAACCATAATGCCAATAAAGATGATTTATTTTTAAGTGTTTATGTTAATGCTTTTCTGAAGAAAAAAGAGAAATACAGCTGAAATATGAAATATAAATATTTGATGAAAAACAAATGTAAAGAAAAATTAGATGTTTAAGTATGCCAATTAAAAAAACTCCAACAAACAAATTACAATATTTTTTAAAAATGTATAAATTACAGTTATATAGAAAAATTATTTAAAAAAAGAAGAAAAACTAATAAAAATGACAAAAGCACATAAAATTACTAAAACTTAAACTAAAAATAAAATGGAAACTGAACATAAAAATAAAGGCTAATTCTAAATATAAATTCAATATTAATTCAAAATATTACAATATGTTTGTAAAAAAGTTACAAATGAAAGCTACATAGAAATATAACTTAAAAATAAGAAAAACTAATAAAACAATAAAAGCACTTAAAATTACTAAAACTTAAACCAAAATGAAAATGAAAATATAAAATTAAAGGCTAATTCTAAAGAAAGAGTCAATACTAATTTTTTAAAAACTATATAAATTATACTAAAAAAATAACTGCTCTGAAACAACTTTTCCACAATAAAATAAAAATACAAAAAAAATAAAATTAATAATAATAATATATATAAAAAAAAATATATAAAAGCTAATTCAAAATATTAATAAATACTACAATACAGAGGGCTGCATTGAGGTTGGGATCCCAACTTTCATTTTTCACATTTTCAGAGGTAAAATTGGTTGCAAATGCCATTCAGGTTGACTTTAAAAGGTTCACCAGTGAAATCTGGCTGGAAAACCCTTTCTACGAATGTTTATTCTTAAGATGTAAAGATGAAATATGTTTAATCACGCGAATGAATGAATGGTTAGAGGAAGAATATCACCTGTAAAGCTTCAGATATTGTATCATCATTATATAATCTACAGCAACCACTGAGGGGAAAACTGACACGCAGAAATGCATATATACAGCACATCACATGCATGTCTAGGAGTTTCATTCTGCAGTTTGTGAGATCTCTAATACCTCCATAATTTCTCCCAGACAGCAGTGAGAGATCAAATGGACAGAAATCTCCTGCTTCTCAAACGAGGCCAGTGAATGAAAGAGAGCAGCTGTCTGAAGACAGAACGACTCGAAGTGACTTTGATGTGGAGTGGATCCTCTTGAATGTGGACTGGAGTGGATCAAATTCACGAGCCGCAGGCATTGATTAGAGAAACAGCTCAAAACTCAAACCCACACACTTTCTACAGATAAAAAGCGCTCCGCCACTCTCAGAGGAGACGGTTTCTCAACCACACGCCTCTGTCTGTCTGAATAACACCGCAGCTACAGTACCACCTCAAACTATTCATAAAAACCCTTCATCATAATATAAAGATACTTTGTTTCCACTAAATGGTTATGAAAATGATAGCATATGCATGTACGATGGCATTTTTAATGTACTTAATGGCTACACGTCTTAAAAATGCAAAAATATGTATTTTTATGGTATTGTAAATATATATATATATAAACAAGCCATTACTGTGAAACAGTGTGTAAATAATGCATCATAATTAGTTAATTTCACTACATTATTGATAAATTGGTATTTATACTAGTTAGAAAGTTTGGGGTCTGTAAAATTGCTTTTGAAAGACATCTCATCTGCTCACCGAGGCTGAATTTATTTGATCAAACATACAGCAAAAATACTGAAATATTTTTAGAATTTAAAACAGCTGTTTTCTATGTGAATATCTGTTAAACTGTAATTTATTTCTGTGATCACTCCAGTCATTACAACAGTCTTCAGTGTCACGATCTTCAGAAATCATTCTAATATTTGCTGCTCAAGAAACATTTGATTATTATCAATGTTGGAAACATTCATATTTCTGTGGAAACTGTGGTACATTTTATTTTTCAGGATTCACAGATGAATAGAAAGTTCAAAAGAACAGCATTTATTTGAAATAGAAATCTTTCGCAACATTATAAATGTCTTTACTGTCACTTTTGATCAATTTAATGCATCCTTGCTGAATAGAAGTATTAATTCCTTTAAGGAAAAATAATGCAAATCTTATAGACACCAAACTGATGACAGGCGTCTCACCTGATCCAGAGCTCATGCACAGCAGAGGCAGCAGATAACAGAGGACGGACACACGGACAGCAAACATGACGAGACCACGCCGAAAACACGTAAGAAACCGCATAAATCAGTTCAGACAGACGACCTCTGACCCCCCAGTGATGTAAACACCGTCTCCACCAATCAGCACGCAGATCACAGACAACTCAAGAGTTCATGGACACTAGAAACACATGCCTGATAAACACCGACAAGTGACTGCAAAGTGTGTATAATTCACACACTGCATCCTTAAATCAAGATGCTTTTACTTGAGAAACAAAATAGAATTGTTTTCTGAAAATTAAGTGAGAATTTTCCAGTGTGCTCAGAAAAACAAACTTAACACAAAAAGAAAACAAGGTTATTTTTCTGACCCCACTGGCAGCTATTCTTGTTTTAAGCAAAAACTCACATCATTTTCCAAAAAAATCCCAAGTCATTTTCCTTCTCAAGTAAACGCATCTTGATTAAAGAACGTTTAGATATTCGTACTAAAAAAACAAGACCAATCGTTCAGGGCTTGATGATTATTATTAGTGGCTGATATGAGGATATTTGTGAATCAAGAGCCATAAAAGAAGATAAAACCAACAGATTAACAGATGCGAGGTTCACTTATATGATGCTGATAACACGCCTTTATCAAATCAGACCATATTTCACACACTACATAAAGAGCAAAGTATAAAGCGAGCACTTTGTGCATCAATCACAACACAATCTTCACGTACTGTACCTTAAAAATAAGGTGGATAAAATAATAACTGATGAGATTAATCCAGTAAACTCTCAGCTATAACAGAACAGTCTGTAATTAAATGCAGATGTTTTACAAACCCATTCAGCTCGAACACTTTGTGCTGAAATAAGCCTTAAAGGGATAGTTCACCCAAAAAATAAAATTGTCATAAATTGTATATATTTTTTTTCAATACTATGGAAGTCAGTGGCTACCGGCAAGTATTTGGCTACCAAGATTCTTCAAAACATCTTCTTTTGTGTTCAGCAGAAGAAAGAAACTCTTAGAACAACTCGAGGGCGAGTAAATGATGACGATTTAAATTTTTGGGTGAACTGTTCCTTTAAGAAATGGAACAGAAAGGTAACAACACACGTTTGTCATTTTTTCATTGCAATGTTCTTTATTATCTTTTCCAGTTTCAAATGTGAAAAGAGGCATTAATTTTTCTTAATTAAATACTTAAAGCAAAAAAGCAAAAAAGAAATATTTACATAATTTCATTAAACTATAATCAATAACTAGAGGAGGATAATTATACAAGCTGGGTGATGAAACCGCAAAAAAGGGAAGAAAAAAAAAAGCCAAAAAATTAATACATGGCATTTTTATTATTTAAAAAACAAAAAGTATGTATTTACAGGTCGCTCTCGAGGGAGCTGAAAGGCATGTAGTATTCGTACTCTCTCATTCTCCAGCTTTTTTCTTTTTTTTTTCTTTTAAACACTTATTTCTATATATATTTTTTCAAGTCGTTATAATGATTTGTTTCATAAAGTTCACAACAGGTGCAAAAGAGCACGTCCACAAGCGCTCCTCGTCACCCTCTTTATTTCTCAAACCTTTCTTTTTCTCCGTGAAGTGTTGAAGTGAACCATACATCAGCTCGGGCCGGCAGAAGCGTCTCGGCAGCAGCAGCAGCAAAAAGGTCAAAGTTTAACGTCTCTAGTTCATCGCACACGCGTCGCCCAGAGCTGCAACCAAACACCGGAAAAACCGCAGCTCTGAAAGGGCTGATTCGCATTTTTAATTTGTTTTCTGTCATAAAAAACGTAGAAAAAAAGAGCTCGGAACACTCCACTAGAACTAAACGAAATCCAAAATCGAAGAAAACGACAAAAAAAACAAAAACAATCCAATCCTCCTCATTACAGCAACATGCACACGATCAGCCGCTCCGCGCAATACCACATCAGCGCCCACGAATATATATATTTCGGAACGAAAAATAGAACTCTGAGCAGCGTTGTGTCAACAGGAAGTGACATCATAAATGAGTGATGTCATCGACGTCCCTCTCCATGGCGGCGGGAGCAGGAAACAGGAAGTAGCAATGCTAACGGCTAAAACTCTATAAACTGAGCAGCTATATATAAACGGCTTGTCATCCTCTAATACTTTA